CTACTGCTGCTGCTGCTGCTGCTATTGCTGCTGCTGCTGCTATCCCTGTTTGTCTCCGGCAGACGGCAATCTCAGCAGCCCTGAATTCCCCAGGAGCTGCTGCTGCTGCTGCTGCTGCTGCAGCAACAGCTCCTGCACCAGCAGCACCAACAGCAGCAGCAGCAGCAGCAGCAGCAGCAAGAGGGACACGGGTTTCTTCTTTGGAGTTATTAAAGCTGCTGCAGCGGGAGGCTATGCAACGAGCTCCTCTTGCTGCTCCTTTTGCTGCTGCATGTCGTCTGCTGCTGCTGCCAGAGCAGCAGCTGCAGCAGGTGCTGCTGCAGCCGCTGCAGCAGCTGCTGCAGGAAGCTATAGAAGACAAAGCAATGAGACAGGGGGATTTGCTGCTGGTAAAAAAGGAGACAGTTGCTGCTGAAAGGAGACAGTTGCTGCATACGCTGAGCTCTTGCTGCTGCTGCTGCTGCTGTTGTTGCTGCAGTTCCTGCTGCTGCTGCAGTTGATGCTGCAGTTGCTGCTGCAGTTGCTGCTGCAGGTGCTGCTGCAGTTGCTGCTGCATTTTTGCTGCAGTTGTTGCTGCAGTTGCTGCTGCAGTTGTTGCTGCTGCATTTGCTGCATTTGCTGCTGCTGCTGCTGCGGTGTACGCGCAGGTAGAGTTGCTGTCTGCTGCTGCTGCTGCTCGGTGGCGGTGTGTGTGGGGTGCAGCAGCAGCAGCAGCTGTCTTGAGTGGGGAGGACTTGCTGCTGGGCAGCAGCATCAGCACAGGCCTGAAGCAGTTTGCTGCTGCAATGAAAACTGTAATTTTTTTATTTTTTTTTATTTTGTTTTTTTTTTATTTTATTTTGTTTTTCTTGTTTTGTTTTGTTTTGTTTTATCTTATTTTATTTTATTTTAGTTTGTTTTGTTTTTTTTCATTTTATCTTATTTTATTTTTTATATTAGTATAATAATATACATATATATATATATATATATATTTGTTATCCCGCTGTCTCCTTCTGTAACTTCTTCGTGCATGCAGTTCATACGTTGCTGTTGCTGCTGCTGCTGCTGCTGCTGCTGCTGCTGCTGCTGTGTGTAGTATATTTGCTGCTCTGTGTCTTCAAGGAGAGGAGCTGGGTTCTGCTGCAGCAGCATTGCTGCAGCAGGAGAAGCAATGTTGCTGCTGCAGCTGCGCGACGTGTTGCTGCTGCTGAGAGACACAGCAGCAGAAGCAGCAAAACAATCAGCAGCAGCAGGCTGCAGCAGCAGGGGGGCCCTAAAGCTTTCGGAGCTGTCTCCTTGGTTAGCTAGGTGCGTACAAACAAAAGGAGACAGTTTGTTTCTCTGTCTCCTTTTTTTTTTCTTTTTTTTTTTCTGCTGCTGCACTTGCTGCTGTCTTTGCTGCTAGATAGACACACACATCGCATGCAGCTGCTGCTGCACCGCAGCAGCAACACACACACAACCTGCTGCAGCAACTGCCGTTGCTGCAGCAGGAATTGCTGCTGCTGCTGCTTCAGTTGTTGCTGCTGCAGTTGTTGCTGCTGCTTCTGCTGCAGTTGTTGCTGCTGCTGCTGCAGTTGTTGTTGCTGCAGCAGCAGCAGTTGTTGCTGTAGCAGCAGCAGTTGTTGCTGGAGCAGCAGCAGTTGCTGCTG